GGCCTCATCTCAGCTGGCATTTAAGGTCAAGCAAGCTGTCTCCTCAGACCTGTCCCCACCCTTCCTGTATTCTGCAGCCAGGGAACCCAGAGTGCCATGGGGGAGGGACCCAGGAATCAGAGACTAGGGACATGTGGATCATCACCAGCTGAGCAGGCAATGGTCCCCCCTGGTGAGGACAGAAGGGGGCCAAGGAGCCCATACCTCCCCGCCCCTCCCCCACATCTTCATTCCACCTCAGTTCCTCACCTATAGCCACCATTTGTTTGGTTTCAGTGTACAGCTCCGTCTCTGGCTAGCTCTGAGAAGTCGCGGGGCACTGTTGCTGACAGGTGCCTATTAGAACCCAGAACCAGTCTACATTCATAATTCTCAGAGACCCCATTCTTCTCTCCCCCCCTCTCCCCCCCAACATGCTCTCTCTTTCTCTTGCTTTATAGCAGAAAGCCTTTCTCTCGGCTCCATGCGAACTCCTCAGCATCTATTTTATTGAGCTCATGAGGCTGATATATAGCCAGCAAGAATGAGCCACTGTGTGGGCTCAAACGCCCGCTTTCCAGCACGCCCAGATACTGAGAGACTGCTGAGAATCGTCATGGAGTCAGCAGCCCAGGCCACACACACACACACACACACACACACACACAGCCCAGCAGGTGACCTGGTACACAGTAGGTGCCTAATACCAATCAATGGCTGGATGCCCACGTGGTCCTGAGAGGTTGACTGAGGAGCCAGCTCCCTCAGGGGCTTGTCCTAAAGATAAAAAAGGATGACTGAGTCAGTGGCCTCCAGCCACCAGTCTCCCAGCCTGGGATCCCATTACAAACCAGTGGGATTGGTGCCTGAGCAGTGGATACCATGACCCCCACCCCCAGCTTGACTGACAGCCCTCCCCACCCACCCCCTCTCAGCTCCACAGCCAAACATCTGGAAAGGAACCGGAAACTCCTCCCCTCATCCATGCCAAGCGATCGCACGGAAAAAAACAGAGCGGAGTTCGTTTTGATGATGCCTGCCCGTGGGGGAGGGGAGGGGGGAGAGGACCCCCAGGGCGCCGGGGTAGGTGGGTGTGCATTGGTGTGTCACACATCATCCGTGTCAAACGCAGACCTGCTGCCCAGTTGGTGGCTTCACCTCTTGATTTCCACGCAGAGGGACAAACACAGGAAGTCAGCCATCACGGTGATACCAGCCAAGCCCTTAACCAAGAGTCCTGGGCCCGGGGGAAAAAAAGCTGCAAAGCATTAGGGAGATGGGCGCCCAGGCGGGTGGGGGAGGGGCATCTGCTTCCTGGATTTGCAGCCTGGAATCAATCAGACTGCGGGGCAGGGGACAGGCCGTGGCCACAGCGGGTGGAAGCTGTTTGTGGAAACCTCCTTTGTCTGGAATTGCTCCTGGCGTCCCCAGGAGAGAAACCCAGCTCCTCCAGGTCCAAGCCCAAACTTCCTTCTATCTGTGTCTCACTGGTGGTCATACGCTCAGAACCTGCAAGAATCTGGTGATGGTGATGATGGTGACAGCGATGATGATGATGGTGTGGACGATGGTGACCACAGTGACCTGGACTTGCGTGTGTTTCTCTTATTAATTCTATTTTTTAAATTGTGAGCTGCAAACACCCCCTACCACCAGCACCCGGCTTGCACCCAGACCCCGCCCTGTAGGGTGACCCCCCCACCCTAAGGACCAGGGAATCCTTCAGACCCTCCCCCAGGGCCCTTCCTCCGAAGCTGGTACTGCAGAGTGAACAAACAGAGCCTGCCACGAGGCTTGGAGTCAGGATTCCGTGCAATCACAAGGCCATGGAGCGGACCCCTCGCTCCTGTGAATGGCCATGACTGGGACATCTTCATCCTCCACTGCCTCCTCCCTCCACCCTTGCCTGCTCCCCCCCCCATCTCCCCTGCCCTTGGGCTGGGTAAGCCCTGCCCCCCCCCTCTGCAAACTTCCCTGGGCACCGCCCACCGTGGTGCCCTGGCCCCGCCTCTGCTTCCGTGAAGGTAGGCCTGGTTTACGGGGGCTCTGGGACCTGGTCCTGGGCTCCCCCGGGGAAATGTGCGCACGCAGAGGCCAAGCTGAGCCCCGGTCCCAATTAATTCCCATCAACAACGCGACCGCTGAGCGCAAATGGCTCTGCGGTTGGCTTCCCACGAACTGCTCCCCTGGGAAAGCTGGGGAGCCTCTCCACATCGCCCAAAGCTTTCTCCAGCTGTCTCCTGTCCAGGGGCCAGCGCGGCCCAGCGGAGCCCAACGCCGCCCCACCTCCCTTCCCCCAGAGGCCCAGGAGCATCATCTACACATGCCCACGTGTCTGTTTACTGCACACAGCAAAGGTCACTGTTCACCCACCTCCCTCCCTGCCGCCCCCACCCCGTCAGCCCCCCGGAACTGCTGTTTTGTCCAGGGCTCCTGATGCTCCCCCATCAAATCTGCCCTTCCCCCCGCCTCCTTTCTTTATATATTCTTTTTTTTTGGGGGGGGGGTCTGGTCGTGGGGCCTGAACTCTGGGCCTGGGCGCTGTCCCTCAGCTCTTCAGCTCAAGGCTAGCGCTCTACCACTTGAGCCACAGCACCACTTCTGGCTTTTTTCTTTTTATTTATGTCATGCTGAGGAATCGAACCCAGGGCCTCAGGCCTGCAAGGCAAGCACTCTACGACTAAACCACCTTCCCAGCCCCCCTCCTTTCTATTCTCTCCTTCCCTCCTTCCCTCCTTCCCTCCTTCCTTCCTTCCTTCCTTCCTTCCTCCCTTCCCTTCCTCCTTCCCTTCCCTTCCCTCCTGCCTCCCTTCCCTCCCCCCTTCCTTCCCTTCCTCTTTCCCTTCTCTCCTTCCCTCCCAGAGCTGGAGAAGGTGGATCTCGGGCAGCAGACCCGGTTCCCAGCCTGGCTGCATCACCTCCACCATCCTGGTTACCACTGGATGGGACGGTCTGGTCTTCCCCCCAGCTGCAGGTTTGGACCTGTATGCTGACCCACGGTAGCTGCTTGGCTCTCATCATCTGTGAATTCTGTCCCTCCCCTCTCATCCCCAAGCACCCTCTTCTCTTCTTGTCCCTCTGCCTCTTGTCCCCAGGCCCTCTGGGCCCCCCCCCAGGGGTCCCCTGCACTGGGCATGTCAGCTGTGGCAGGGATCACACACCTGAGTCCCAGGGGATGCTTGGAGACATGGGGGGGGGGACGCCACAGGGGCAGGCTGGTGGCACATGGGTGCCTGCAGGAGGCAAAGATCAGAGCAGAGACCCTGGGGTCACAGCCAGGAGGAGGGGAGTCTGGCTCCCAGGGGGAACAGCCAGCCTGGACTGGGCTGCTGGTTACCAGCCTGAACTGGCCTGCAGCTCGCGGGGCCCGGCCTTCACCTGGGAAGACCGTGGGCCTGGGTGTGAGGCCCTCACACCTGTCTCCAAGACCCGGGACAAACCCCACGGCACGCAGTGCCTCAGTCCCTCCATCTGGAAGCCCGGAGAGAGGCCCAGAGAGGGGCCCTGGGCCATCTTTTTGCTCTCACACTTCCAAGTTCAGACTTGTGGAAGCAGCCAGATGCCCCAGCTTGGATCCATTCAGGGCTCCCTGGTCACAAGCCCACAAGACCCATCTGGGAAGCGACTGTTGGTCCCTAATGACGTGTGATTCAAACAGCCCAGGCGGGAGGCAGCTAGGACATCCGTTTATTGCCCCAGCCAGGCAGTGACTCAGAAGAGGACAGAATGTATCCTCTCTGGCTTAGAGGGACAAAGGGCCTTGGGTCCACGGAAGCTGGCCCCCGCCAGGTTCCCCGCCCACCAGGCCTCTCCACCCCCAGAGGCCTTGGGTAGGAGTGGGGGTGGAGAATTGGAACCACAGGGGGGTGGAGCGGGTGGGGCAGGGCAAGGCCTTGGCCCCTGTCCAGGGTGCTGAAAGGCCCTGCCAAGTTGGATCAGTTCAAAAACTCTTCATGAAGCTTCCTGCAGGCCGTGAATCTGCTCACATGAATCCACTGAAGAATCAATTCAAACACCTCTGGCAGACAGACACTAGCTGGTTTCCCTGGGGTGAGTCACTAAACCTCTCTGGGCCCCTACCAAGGTGAAAGAGAAGGCATTCTGTCGTTGTTACTGAGGTGGCAGGTTAAATATGGGAAGTGCTCAATACTTCAAAGCTGCCACAGCAGGCTGGGATAGTCTCAGTGAATAAATTCTCCCTGTTGGAAAGGACAGAGTCTGTGGCAGACCCCGCTATCCGGATGCTGATTCCCAGCATTGCTGGGCAGGGAACTTCCTCCTTCTCCAAGGCTTTGGCTTTGTCATGGGTTGGTGGGACAAAGTCCCTGGCTGCCCCCAGGAGTTGTGCCTTTCAGACCTTGTAGCTGCACAAGGGAGCAGGTTTTGGGGCCCAGTTCAAGCAGCTAAGTAGGGTTCAGGCTTTGCTTCAAGTTCATGGCCTAGTCCCCCTCCCCCACCAGACACCATCTTCTCCTGGGGGATTCTCTAAGCCTGCTGTGTGTGTGTGTGTGTGTGCGTGCGTGTGTGTGTGTGCGCGCGCGCGTGCGTGTGTGTGCATGTGTGTGTGTGTGTGTGTGTGTGTGTGTGTGAGTCCTGGGGCTTGAACTCAGGGCCTGAGTGCTGTCCCTTAGTTTTGTCATCCAAGGCTGGTGCTTAACCACTTGAGCCACAGCTCCACTTCCGGCTTTGGGAAAGTTAATTAATTTGGGTTTTGTTTTTATTTTGTAGGTCATGGGGTTTAAACTCTGGGCCTGGGCACTGTCCCTCAGCTCTTCAGCTCAAGGCAAACGCTCTACCACTTGAGACACAGCGCCACTTCTGTTTTTTTTGAGTGGTTTATTGGAGATAAGAGTCTCATGGACTTTCCTGCCCAAGCTGGCTTTGAACCGCGATCCTCAGGCCTCAGCCTCCTGAGTAGCTTGGATTACAGGCATGAGCCACCAGCACCTGACATTAGTTTGGTTTTTTAAGTCTCACAGACTTGTGTGTTCAGCCTGGTTTCGAACCCTGATCCTCAGATCTCAAGCCCCTGCGTAGCTAGGATTATGGCTTCTTAGTGCTATACTTGGAATGGTCTCCTGCAAGGCTTGGAGGACACAAACTAGAAGGAGAAAAGTCCCTTTCCTTTGCTTTCCACCCCATGCCCTCGAAGGGCTGGACTCAAAGCACATAGCCAGAGCTAAGTGGGTTGGAGAAGGAAGGAAGGAGGGAGGGAGGAGGGAGGGAAACAAGGAAGGAAGGGTTCCGGTGATGGCTAGGGACTCAGCTGCCTCCCCCCTTCAGCCTCTCTCCTCAGTAACAGTGCCAGGAGGCCACGGGGGGGCTGAAGCAAAAGGCTGCTGCCACCCGCACCTCCAAATGGCCTGCAGACTTTGCCCTGGGAAGTTTTAGAGTGAACTGTTCCATACCCACACCCTTTGCAACCCCCCCATCCTTTCCTGGGTCCCACATCCTGCTCACAGCTTCCCCCAACCCATGGTGCCTTGCAAAGAGCTCATGACACCCCAAGGGCCGCATCTTCTCAGCTCCTCTAGAGGGGACCGTGGTTGAGAGTTCCCATTCCCCTCCCCTCCCCATGAGCCGTGGCCACAGGGGCAGGAGAGGGGCTGGCGGCTGTAGGCGCGGCGTGTGGATGCATGCACACATGCATGTATGTATGGTGTATGTGTATAAGCATGCATGCATGCATGTGTGCGCATGCCCCCCCTGCTCACACCAGAGGGCTTGCAGTGTCCAAGCATTTCTGGGGCACACAGTAGACAGCTTAATCCTGTAGCCGGTGCCAACCCCAGTTTACGGCAGTGCTTTGGAGAACTGCTCTTTTGTTCTTATTTTTCTTCTTTCTTTGTCTTTTTTCTTTCTTTTTTTTTTTTTTAATTACGTTGAGTTAGGCCGAGGCTGGTTCTCACTGGTGCACAGTGCAGACTGCTGGTTAGGGCTGGCCGTTGGCCATCCTCCCTGGAGAAAGAGTTAGTTTCCCGCCCTGGGTCCTCAGCCGAGAACGCGATTCGCTCTGCGTGCACTGCGGGGGGGGGTGCCCCCCCCTCTTGAGGAGGAGCTCCGGCCTTGGTCCTGGGGTGGGGTGCCCCCTGGGGCTCTCCCCGGAGGGGGCAGGGGGAAGGGACACACTCAAAGCATGTTGGTCTCCCTCTCAGTCCCCGAAGCCCTCTCGTTCATGGACGACACCTTGGTAAAGCTCCTGTGGCTAGGGTAGCTGGACTGGCCGGTGTCATCGCTCAGAGCATTGGCCAGGCGGGATAAAATGGCCACCTTGAACTTCTTGAAATCCTGACCCATGAAGACGTACAGGATGGGGTTCATGCAGCTGTTGGCGATGGCGATGGCGGTGGCCAGGGGCAGGACGAGGCCGAGGGTGGAGGCGGGTACGGGTGCGTGGTACAGCTCCAGCAGGTACAGCGCGTGGTAGGGACACCAGCAGAGGAAGAAGGTGACAATGATGGCCACGATGACCTTGAAGGGCTTCTTGGTCTTGGTCAGGTGGTTGTGCCTGAGCTTGTAGACGATGATGAGGTAGCAGGCGGTGATGATAAGGAGAGGGACCAGGAAGCCACAGAGGAAACGCGTCACCGTCACCCCCATGTGACGGCTGTACCCCGCCGAGCCCAGGTGGGGCTGGGCGGAGGGAGGCTGGTCGGCCGACAGGCTGAAGTTGTTGAAGCAGATGATCTTCCCGTGCAAGTGGGTCGTGTCCCGGAAAATGAGGGAGGGGGAGCTCAAGAAGAAAGCCAGGACCCAGATGACCACGCAGGCCGCGCAGGCCAGCCGGACGCTGCGGTGGTTCTGGGCCCAGACGGGGAGGAGCACGGAGACGCAGCGGTCGAGGCTGATGGCGGTGAGCAGGAAGACGCTGGTGTACATGTTGTGGATGAGCAGGAAGTTGCTGATCTTGCACATGGTGAGCCCGAACACCCAGTGGTAGCGCATGGCCACGTAGGCGATGTGGATCGGCAGGGAGATGTTGAAGAGGAAATCCGCCACGGCCAGGTTGAGGAACCAGATGGTGTTCACCGTCTTTTTGGTCTTAAAGTTGCCGATGACAATCACCAAACCGTTACCCAAGATGCCCAGGAAGCAGATGATGCTGTAGATGGCCACGAAAATCTCAATGGCACCCGTCTCCAGTAGAGACGCATCCTCCAGCGCCACCACGGGGTCTAACTCATCCAGATACTCATCGTCGTAGGCAGAGGAAGCGTTGTAATCCAGATTCTCCATCCTCTGCAAGGGAGGCTCCCGTCACAAGTGGCTCTTAGAAGCTGACCAGAGCCGGGCACTGGTGTCTGTCATCCCAATGACTCAGGAGGCTGAGCTCTGAGGATCGAGATTCAAAGCCAGCCCCGGAGAAGGAAAGCTTGAGAGACTCTGATCTCCCATGAATCACCAGAAAACTGGAAGTGGAGCTGTGACTCAAAGTGGTAGAGTGCTAGCCTTGAACAAAAATGGTTAAGGACAGCACCCAGGCCCTGAGTTCAAGCCCACAACCGACAATAAAAAGAAAAACAAAAAAAAATCAGAGGCTGACCAGCCCCGGTGTGAGCAGCCCTGGCCACCTTGGCTCAGAGGGAGGCCAGCGAGTGGTTTAACTATGCCTGGCCATTTCCTCTGGGGCTTTTTCCTCCCTCCCTCCCTTCTTTCCTTCTTTCCTTTCTTTCCTCTCACTGTGTTGCTGAGGATCAAACCCAAAGCCTTGAGTGTCCTAAGCAGACATTCTTAACACTGAGCTACAACCCCAGCCCTTTATTTTGTTTCCTTACCAAACACTTCTCCAACTACCTCCTACAAGCCAGGCATTGTTCTAAGAGCAGACATCTAGAATCTCGTGGCAGTCAGTACTGGGATTTGAACTAAGGGCTTCATGCTTGCTAGGCAAGTATTCTACTACTGGAGCCACGCCTCTATCCACCAAGCCACGCCCCTATCTATCTCTGAGCCACGCCCCAGTCCTGACGTACATAAGCCTAAGTGTGCTTTTTTTTTTGGTCTGTAATGGGGCTTGAACTCAGGGCCTGGGCGCCGTCCCTGAGCTCTTTTGCTCAGCACTAGCACTCTACCACTTTGAGCCACAGCTCCTCTTCCAGTTTTCTGGCTGGTCCATTGGAGATAAGAGTCTCAGAGACTTTCCTGCTGGGGCTGGCTTTGAACCACGGTCCTCAGATCACAGCCTCCTGAGTAGCTAGGATGACAGATGTGAGCCACCAGCACCCAGCTCTAAATGTGTTCTTAACAATGTTTCCTACTTCTTTTGGGACCCTCTCTTCTCTAGAGTCTAGTCGTAGAGGTAATTATTCAATAAAATCTCCCGCAGTGCTGGGTACAGTGACTCACACCTGTAATCGTAGCTGTGTGGGAAAAGAAAACCCAAAGGATGTGGTTCCAGGCCAGCCAAAAACAAAAACAAAAAACTGCTAGAGACTTCATCTTAACAACAACAAAAAGCTCGGCGTGGTGGTCCAAGCCTGTCACCTCAGCGAGAGCGGGAACTACAAATAGGAGGGGTGGCAGTCTGGGTTAGGCTGGGCAAACAACGGAGACCTTATCTCAAAAATACCCGGAGCAAAAAGGGACTAGAGGTGCTGCTGAAAACGGTGAGGCCCTGAGTTCAAATCTCAGTATAGACAGAAAAATAAAGTCCCTCGATAATGAGACCATTACAGCAATGCTGGGTACAGTGGGGGAGGGAGGCCTCGTGCTGTGCACTTGGCTCCAGCCAAGCTTCAAACACCCAGGGGGCAGCTGTGCCAGCCCCGCTCCCCCACTCCCCCCGCCCCGCCCCCTGCCCCTCCCTGCCCGTGGTCCCCCTTGGGACACCAGTGTGGTCCCTTACCGTTCACCGTGACGTGTCCGGAGCTCCTCAGAGTGGGTGGCAGCCGGGAACACCTGCGGGGAGGAGGAGAAAGGACGCAGGGTGAGGGGAGCAGAGCCCACGGTGGGCTCTACGTCGCTCCTCGCACTGGGTGGGAAGAAACGGAAGGCCTGATCACCCCTTCCTGCTGGGAAGACCCTGGCAGCACCGGAGCCCGCACCCCAGACACACAGCTCCCACCACCGGCCAGCTCCGTCAGGGCGCAGGGGGGATGTGGGAGACAGCGTGTGGGCTCTGCTGGGCAGCTCACCCCCAGGGCGAGTCCCAGGAAATACAAAGGGATGCTGGGAGCACAGAGGCCCAAGAGGCCCTGCCCGGAGCACCTTCTCCGGAGCCCGCACTGAACGCCCCGGGGCAGGGACCGGGCTGGGATGCTGCTTCTGCTTTTGCCCAGGCTGGGAGAAAGGAGCTGGGGCTCACCAGACCCCCCGCCTCCGGTTATGAAGAATTTGGCACGGGCATCTCTTGTACAGAACTTGAACTTCACACAGGCTGGTGCCAACTAGCTGGCTGGGAATCGCCTGATCCATGACAGGCCAAGTGAGGCTGGGCGGCGTCAGAGATTGAGAAGGTCTCATGGGGGGTGTGGCCTGGTGTTATATTTGCGTGCATCCTATTTGAATGCATTTGCATGTAGCTCCAGTCTCCTTTGATCTATCAGCTGTAGGTGACAAACCTTATCCTCAGGTCACCCCTGTAATCCGAGCTACCCAGGAGGCAGAAATAGGAGGATCGCAGTTCCAAGCCAATCTGGGGCTGGGAATAAAAAGTGAGTGATGATGGGGCAGAACTTCAAGGGTAAGAAAAGGAAGGAAGGCCTGACCTGGAACATGGCTAAAGCACAAAAAGCTAGAGTTAAGGGTCGTGGGGGTTGATGCTCGTCTAATGAGCTCGAGGGTCTGAGTTCAGGTTTCAGCCCTGTCTGCACACCTCCACCCGCCCCCCACACACCCACACACACCACAAGAGCATGGGCATTCCCTGTGCACATATCCACTTACAAATTATTTGCAAGACACCACGTAACAACCCGCAGGGATAACCCCCCTTCCCCCCCCCAGCCTGCAGAGTGGAAAACCAAGTTTCGGAGAAGGGCGGGTCACTCGCCGGAGGCCAAGCAGGGAGGAAAGCTAACTCCAGAATTCCAGGTGGGAAGCCCACGGATGACCTCCGCATCCCCCTGAAGCCATGCAGCAGACCCCAGTCTCAGCCGCCTCGGGCCCTCTGTTCTTTCACCTTGAATCCCGAGCACCAGGACCGCCCCTCCCTTCCCGATCTGCCCAGCGCAAGTCATGGACACAGACCTTCTCTGGGCCTAGACATCTCTTCACGCTTCTCTCCAGGTCGGTATGAGCAGCTAAGGTCAAGAAAATTACCTCTGTCCCAGCTAAGGTCAAGAAAATTACCTCTGTCCTGGGTAACCCAGCAGCCCAGCCCTGCTTCCTTTGACAAAGACACCTGCCCACGTGAGAAATAGAGCCCTGGAGAATTTTATGCAAAAGAGTGACACTGCTCCCCCCCTGAGAAACTGGGTTTTCTTCCTCTTTTCTAAACAGTGCAAGACTAACTTGTCCCGTTTCCCTTTTTCATGTGGCCACCAGGAAACTCGGAGTCATGTGTCAGTCAGGTCCGCGGAGGCGATTTCTTGAGCTCTGCTAGCCCTGCAAACTTTCTGCGCTGATTCTTGGCGGGTCCTTACTTCTACACCTAACTCTGTTTCATGTTTAATGTGGCTCCTTGGGAGACCTAATACGTGGGCAGACACGATGGCTCCAACACCGTGCTAACTAAGTACCACATGCTTAGTTGTATTCGTTCCCTAACTCCTCTCTCCCCCGAGGAGCAACACTGCTGCTGCCCCACTGTGGAAGTGGGGAAGTGCAGGGGTCACACGGGTCAGCTGGTGACCCTGACCCCTGCCCTTCGCCACACTGTCTCTAGACATCAGAACACATGCTGACCGCCCTGTGGTCACTCTCCCCCCATATCCCAGGATCCCCTGCTCCTCCCCCTCCCCCCACAGCTCCACTTTCCTGAGCATGTTAGGCACTGTATCCTCCTCCCCCAGTTTCCAGGCCCATCTGTCTGAGGTCTGGGGGACACACGGGGGTCAGCTGCCTCCTTTCCCATCCCCCACAGCGCCCCTGGGGCGGATGAGCAAGCCTGGCCCTGCTCTTGGGGGTCTTCCTGCGGCCTGCAGCTCACGACCCATCTGGCATCCAGTGCAACTCACCTGAGTCACATGCCCCAGGCTGGCCTTTGACCCCGAGGGTCAGTCCCTGGACAGACCCAAGGAGAAGAGGCCGGGGAGGTGGGTGTGGGTGCCTGGGCCAGGCCCTGCCCTGCTCAGGGCCTCGGGACAAAGGAGATGAGAATCCAGAGACAGATCAATCCTTCCCAGTCCCCAGACAAGCCACGACCCCCCCACACAGGGCCCCCCCCACCATGTGGGTGTGCACGCGCGCGCACACACACACACACACACACACACACACACACACACACACACACACACATGCCCCACGGGCCCCCACGGCTGCCTGGCTCATTCCCACCCAGCGTCGGCAAGCATGAGGGAGAAAAATCCCCCCAAACGCCAGTCTGGTCAAGACCGCAGGAGTTAGGGCGCCCTTGCTCATGGCGGGGAGCAAAGCCGGGGGAAACCAGGACAGCGGAGCCCTGTCCGCACGGCGCCTGTGAAGGGCGGCCACCTCCAAAAGACACAAGCGCTTTTCCCAGGGTGTCAGAGCCGCTAGTCCTTGGCAGATTCCTTCTACCAGGCCAGGTGTGGTGGCGCATGCCTACAATCCCAGCACTCGGGAGGCCGGAGCAGGAGGATCGTCACTTCAAGGCCAGCCTCGGTGACCTAAGTAACACTGCCCCAACTATAAAACATATTTTTAACACGCGCAAAATCGTCCCCCACCCCCCACATCCACGTGGAAGGGGAGCATCGAAATCTGAGACGAAGGACAAAGTGAACCCATGTAACAACAACCCCAACAAATAAACTTTACACCTGGGGGAAGGGATGGAGAGCTGAGGCAGGAAAAAAAGTGTGGGAAAAATGGACAGTGGGTAAGAACATACGACCAGAAAAGCACTCGCTCACTGCCTGACATATGCAACCCTAGCCCCGCGGCACAGCCCTTCGACAATAAGATTCCATTCAAAAGCAGAGTCTTGATACCTACACTCTTCTCAATTCTCAGTGCACACGGCGCTACTTACGTCAACGGGTTTGTAATACAGACGTGTGGAAACAGTTCTGTGCTCTTTACATTCCTAGATGGATAGAAGAGACACCAGTTTCCCCACGCCACCAGGTTCCAAGCCACCATTTACAAACTAATGTTGAAATGGTTTTGTTCAACTATGTCTGTAGGAACCCCGATACTCATTTGAAACTGCAAACTAGGAGAAAGTCTGACAATGAAACACGCCCCAAGTCGGAAACCCTCACATTTTCACACCTGTCGTAACTGTGAGCAAGATTCTCACCTGCCAGCCTTCCTCGTCTGTAATCAAATTCTTCAGCTCTATTGATTACATAGGCATCCTAACCACTAATACATATTTTGTTTTGGCAAGGTAGATCTTCCTGAAATATGCTTCAAGGGCTCTTCCATTCAGCAGTAGGGATGCTGTGCATCAGGAACGCCGAATGAACTATAATTTGGTGATGGTGGGGGCCATAAATATGCGGGCAAGTTACACAAGTTGAAAACAAAGTTATATTCATCTGGTATGGTTTCATGAAAAGAGCCGTGAATTACAGTCCGAAGCTACTGCCCTAATCTTCTTGGAACATTTTAGAAATATTCCGGACAAAATCTCTAACGATGCATGTATTCTTGTCTGAGATAGTGTATGTACACCTGCAAGAATCTGTTTTTTTCCCTTGCCTAATTCACATTAACGTACGTGTAATACACGGTGTACCAAAATCAAACACCAGTTTTCTGGTGGTTCACTGGAGATAAGAGTCTCACGGACTTTCCTGCCAGGCGGGCTTTGGACTGCAATCCTCAGATCTCAGCCTCCTGAGTAGCGAAGGGTTACGGATGTGAGCCACCGGCACGTGGCTAACTTCATTCTTACTATTAACCAAGCGTGCAGACGGTTCTCACTGTATTCCGGCCGTTGTCCCCGCTGCTGCTGCAGCTGCCGCCGAGGAATTGGACGCACAGAGAGGGTAAGCCATGGGCCTGAGGTTGCACCGCGCTGGTAAAGCCAGAGAGATCAAATGAACCATTCTGCCTAAGAGGAGGAAGCTCAGACATGGGCGGTGATGTGTGGATGGGGAGTGACGGGGGGGGGGGCGGTTGGTTAGGCTCAAACCCAGTTCGTGCAGAATTGCCAAACTCACTTCCTTGGAACCTTCCAGAACCTTTTGCCCTTTGCCCTGGTGGAAAGCCCGAGAGGCTCTGGGGTGTGGACCCCTCCCCAGGCCCTCGGAGAGTAAATGCTTCCCACATGTGGACGTATGCGTGCGTGTGGCCTCGGTTGCTGCCCTCCCGAGCCAGGACCATTACACACACACACACACACACAAACACACACACGGGGCCTCTCCCCTGCCCTGGTCACTGTGAGCACAGAGACTCGAACCCAGGACCCCCCTCCCCCTCACCCCCTCACCCCCTGCTCCTCAGGCTGCTCCCAGATGGCCTGTGTCCCCACAGGCTCCGGGGACACGAGGCCAGGCGACATCTGGACAGCAGCTGTTTGCCATCTGCTCTGCCCTCTCCCAGCGTGAGCCCTGGTGTGCAGGATTCCGTCTGCCTGTCCCTCCCTCCCTCCCCCTCCTGTGTGTCTCTCTGCCTCCCCACAACTGTCCCTCTCTCTGCAATCCATGTCCCCATCTCCCACACACCCCCAGCTCCTTCTCCTCCTGTCCCCCCCATCCCCTCCACTCCCCCCTCACCACCCCCTGCTTCACGGGGCTCACACCCTTGGCTGTCCAGCCTGCCATCTGCTCTCCTGCAGTCTGCCTCTCACCAAACACCAGAGCCTTATCAGCTGGGTGTGGGAGCCCCTGGGGAAGGGGAGGGAGGACTGTCCTTCCTTCTGGCAAACGCCTGGTTTGCCCTGGCTCCCTCCCACCCCCTCCCTTCCTGCCCAGCCTGCAAGCGGCCCACACCCCACTCTCTCCCAGCCCTGACTGCAGGAGGCTCTCAGGAGCTGGAGGGAGGCCCTTGGAAGACATCCTCTTGGCAGGGGAGAAACTGAGGCCTGGAGTAGGGGAGGACCCACTACCTGTGTCCTCTCACACATGGTGCACCCCGGAACGGCAACCGTGCCTGGCACCTCAGATGCCTCAGACTCAGGCGGAGACTGGCAGGAATTTGCAGAGGGAAGCACAGACAGAAGTGACCTGCCCAGGACACACAGCAGTGTGTGTGCGTGCATGAGCGTGTGCTGCATGAGTGTGTGTGTGTGCGCACACGTGCATGAGCGTGTGCTGCATGAGTGTGTGCTCACGTGCATGAGTGTACTGCATGAGTGTGTGCACGCGCACATGAGCATGTGCTGCATGAGTGTGTGTGCGCGCGTGTGCTGCATGAGTGTGTGTGTGCGTGCATGCATGAACGTGTGCTGCATGTGTGTGTGCATGCATATGTGCTGCATGAGTGTGTGTGTATGTGTGTGCGCATGCATGAGCATGTGCTGCATGAGTGTGTGTGTATGTGTGCACACGTGCATGAGCGTGTGCTGCATGAGTGTGTGGGTATGTGTGTGTGCGTGCATGCATGAACGTGTGCTGCATGTGTGTGTGCATGCATGAGCATGTGCTGCATGAGTGTGTGTGTATGTGTGTGCACATGCATGAGCATGTGTGTGCGTGCATGCATGAGTATGTGTGTGTGCGTGTGCATGAATGTGTGCTGCATGAGTGAGTGTGTGTGTGTGTGTGTGTGTGTGTGTGTGTGTATGCACCAGCGGGACCTGAACTCAGGATCTGGGTGCTGTCCCTTAGTTTTTGTGGGCTCAAAGCTGGTGCTCTACCACTTGAGCCACCGCTCCACTTCTGGCTTTTTGGTATTTCATTGGAGATAAGAGTCTCATGGGCTCTTCTGCCCAGGCTGGCTTTGAGCCACCATGCTCCCCAGTAACCAGGATGCACGGTGTGAGCCACCGGTGCCCAAGCCTGCTCAGCTCTCAAGTGTCGACTTAGGGTTTGGACCACAGACTCTCTGACCACAGAGCCCACGGCAGCCTCCAGCCGTGGCTGAAACACTTCGCCCTGAAGCACACCAGGAGCCCGGCGTCTGCAGCCCCCACAGCCCCTGCAGAGGGAGTTTCTGGATGGGCAGAGACGATGGCTCCAGGGCTGTGTGTGCGCATGTGCGGGTTGATCGCAATCCCTACATCCCCAGACTCTGAGAGACTGGGCGCCTGGAAGCCACTGCCGGCATCTGCAGATGTTGCAGCCGCAGGCCTGG